GGTTACTTATTCAACTCATTAACATGCCAAGATTCAATCTTTAAACAATGAAAACTCATGATCAAGGTTCAACAACTTACCCCAATGGTTCAAAACAGAAAAGGAATGCTCTTGGAGCTCTCAATGTAGCTCCCAAGGTTCAGACTACAAGGGACACGAAAATGCCTCACACAAGAATGGTCCTTTCTCTTCAAAGGTCACTCCTTGGAGCTCCCACAACCAAGGAAGTGGTTCCCTCTTCAACTACCAAGAAGTCAGCTTCCCTACCACCTCTAAACAGAGGCCAAGGCTCGGAAAATGGCAGACTCTACCCTCACCAACCACTCTACCAAGTGTTTACCATGTATAGAGGAGAAGAATCAAAGGAAAAGAGATGACTTGAGAGGTTTTTCATGCAAGAGTGACCATGGAAGAAGGTGACAAGCATGAAGACACACACAGCAGCCAAAACCAAAGTATAAAGGCTGAAGAATCAACCTAGGGTTATGTGAAAAAGGTCTATTTATAGGCCACTTAAACTAATCACACAGTATTAGCGCTAATAGCTACGCTTAGTAATTAAATCCCACACTTAGGATTCTAAGATTTGTCATATTTTTATTTTATGTTTCGCAGCACTTTTTCGGTACGCGCTTTTACGTAGCCGGTATCCGTTTTGACACCAATTCTCATTATTTCGACTTAAAATTTGTTTTACTAGTCCTAAATATTATTTTATGATTATTTCCATACTTATTATAATTTTTCGGGATACCTCATCGGTACGCATTTATACCGTGAGGCAGAACCAGTATCTGCACTTTAGTCAGAAAAGCGACTTTCAGCATTATTAATCACTTACCATAATTATTTAAGCCTTCTCATAATTATTAGGGTCCATTATGGAAATATTTCCTAATTTCACATTTAATTAATTTAATTTCCTAATTTAACGGTGCGACTTCTTACACTAGCCAACATTCAACTCCATATAACATTGCAGTCTGAAAAGTATATGAACATTATCATTAAATTCTTAATGATATTTTTCATTTAATGACATCCTTCACAAATCTATTAATTTAAAGAGTAAATACTCTTTTTGGTCCTCAACAAATTTTATGATGCCCATTTTAGTCCCTAGCAAATAAAAAGATCAATCATGGTCCTTAAGAAATTGAAAATGGACCCATTTTAGTCCTTTTAGGAACTAATATGGGTCTTTTTTGAATTTGTGAGAGACCTCGATTTCAACTAAATGGGTCCATTTTGAATTTCTTAGGGACCACGATGGGCCTTTTTATTTGCTAGGGACTACAATGGGCATCGTAAAATTTGCTGAGAACCAAAAAGAGTATTTACTCTAATTTAAATTGATAGCAAAAATTAGGGTGTTACAATATATATATATATATATATATATATATATATATATATATATATATATATATATATATATAATAGTAAACAACTTCTTATTTGTAATATTATAATATGCTGATAGAAATGCATGAACAAATATATATATGCATAAACAACTTATATTGTATGGCTCAGGTTTATTTTATATTAGTGTAAGTTACCTTCTTCTTTTTTTATAAGTGAAAATTGAATATATAACCTAATACAATCAATCCAAACCCCTCATCACTAAATCAAACTTAGGGCTTAATATAAGTTACATTCTCAATCTTTGTCGTTGATCATATTTATATCTAATAACTTATCAGAAATCACTACCAGAAATAACCATATTTTCAACGAAATTTAACTAGAATTCTGTCAAAAATTTCCACGAAAAATAATTTTGTTGAAAAGTTCTTCACAATTTGCAATGGAATTTATTGATAATTCCATTGAAAATTTTGAAAGAAAATAATTCCATAAAAAGTCTTACAATTTGCGGCGAAATATATATAGAATTTCGTCGAAAATTTTGATGAAAAATATTTCTGGCGAAAATTTGCGTCTTAGTTCGCAACGAAATTCAACTAGAATTCTATTGAAAAAAATATTATGAATTTTTTATAAACATTTATTTCATATGGCTTTTAATTCAACAAATACATACTAGTGTACCTAATAAACATGTGGTAATTTCATACAAATAACGTATATCCAAACTATCACCAATGACCAAAAACACTATACTAAATGAAAAGTATGAATATGAGATAATTTCATACAGATAATACACATCCAAACTAACATCAATTACCCAAAACACCATATATAATGAAAAGTACTAATGTATACAAGTCACTATCACACGTAAAAATAAAGAACAATGTTAAAAGGACTATGTGTGAAAAAGAGACATTGATCCTCCCCATTATCACCAAGATGTTCATCTTCATTGTTAGGGTCTTGGATTGGTGGTAATGTCTCGTCATTGTCCACCTGATATTGAGTATCCAAACCGCTAGGACTATACAACAGTCCTTGTGGGATCCTACGCATCATATCACTCATCCGTTGAAATTTTTTATGGAATTGGTTTCCGTAGAAAATTTCAACTAAAATTTTTCAGTCAAAAATTTCAACGGAATTTAATTTCCGTCAAAACTTTCTATCACTAATTATGACCGAATCTTCTTTTGTCTCTAATTCCGTCTTTATTTTCAATGGAAAATATTTTCGTCTTTGTTTTTCACGGAATTTAATTTTTATCGAAAATTTTGTCACTATTTTCGATGGAATATTTTTCGTTGATAAATTTTATCAATAATAAAATCTTTTCTAGTAGTGCATGTGAGCTATTGGATACAAACAAATCAATATAAAATATAGAATATAAAATTTCTTATTCTTACATAATGTAAGTTGCAGTGTTATTAAACCCGAACCGACCCGGCCGGGTCGATCCGTGAACCGGTAAACCGGTCATATAACCGGTCTGGTTCAAGCAACGGACCGGTCATGCATCAGAACCTGTGCGACCCGGTCCGACCCGGTCCGACCCGGCCGGTTTTCATGAAAATCGGTGACCCGGCCCGGTCCAAAAAAAATTCCAAATTTTTTTTCAAAAAAAAAAATCATAATGGACATAGTTAAATATATTTTTTGCTTATTGACTTACATAATTTATGTACCTACAACACTAATATTATCTCAATTATGCACTATGCAGAAAATTTTGATTTGATTTATAGTTAGAAATGTTATTTTCTGAACCTAAAGCCCCGTATCACGATCATTATATTTTTGTTTGATCCTTTATTGTATAATAATACGTGATTTATCATTTTTTATATTAAAATATTTGAATTTTTTGTCATTTTTGCTTAGATATTTGAATATGTTTATAATTTTTTTAATATAAATTATAAAATTGCATATAATTACAGGGTCATGCGGATGAACCAGTGACTCAGTACCTCAACCGGATCAATGACCGGGCCGATTTTAATAACGTTGGTAAATTGATTATGTCGTGAATTGCATTCTTAGGGATTAAAACCTCCGTACACCTTGTTTTCCAATTTCCATTATTGAGCACGTGATCTTGCCCATAATACTATTCTAAAATTTGTTTTTTGTTTTAGTAATAATTTATGATGACTGAAAAAACGTTTAAATCGTATTTTAAAAATAAAATATTAAATGATCAAGATTTAAGACAAATGCACGGGTCAGATATTCTCATGTGAGTCCTTCATTAGGAAGTTAACAGAGGTTGGACAAAAAAGCCTACTGATATATTATGTAAAATATAAAAATTAATTGAGAAAATTTTAAAAATGACCCAAAATTTAATATATATATATATATATATATATAATATATGAAAGAATGGAAAATTGTTTGTATTTTTAAATAACATAACTTGTGTCGTGAGACTTACACCTTTATTTTTCTTTTGTCCACTTTGTCTTCCATGATTTATCTATTTTTTTCAATTAGGGGGTGTATTAGATTTAGATTTCAAAGAATTTTAATGGATTATTTTTGGACAAAAAAATCCATTGATATTCAATTAGGATTTTAATGGATTGAAAAAAAATTACATGATATTCAATTAGAATGATAACCCTTGATTGACGAAAATCAACGGTTAAGAAATGGTTGTAAACACAATTAGATTGTAAGTATAACATTCCATTTTTGTATTGACTCTTTTAATTTTGAACGTTTGTTAAAGATTCATATGATTTTTTAAAATCTTATAAATCCATATTGTCTTTTTAAACCTTATAAATTCTATCCTTTAAAGTCCAATCTTATGAAATTTTGATCGTAAAAAAGTCTTTAAAATCCATCCATTTCTAAATAATCTTTTAAAATCTATAAAAAAATTTATCTCAATTTGTTTTTAAATTCTAATCCAATACATTCTTTATAATGACACATATTCTTTTGGATATAAGAATCTATTTGTGACATTAGCAAAATATCTATCCAGATAAGGAAGGCTTTATATGGTAAAAAAGAGTTATAAATAATTCTCTGTTACAACTCGTGAATGCAGTACTGTGTGCGGAACCAGCCAGCGGCAAAACACCGTCACCCCGAACACTCTTTGTCCTTTATCTCTCTGGGTTTTTTTTTTCTCAAACAGGTTCCTATCGATTCAAATTCCGTTCTTTTCCCTCTTTCTCTTTTCTTTATCGTATCGGTTTTTTCCTTTTTAATTCGCTGATCCCTTCTTCCTTCATCTCATTTTTGAGCGTTCGATTTCCCTTTTTGCGCTGCACCCTGGCCTTGATTTTGTGATTGCAGCGTTATTCATTCCTTGTTCTAGGGTTTTATGCTTTCCTACTTCCCTTTGATGGAAAGCGAATGAACCATGTAGTTTTATCATCTTAATCTTTAGCTGAAACTGGCTATTGGCCTTAAGTCCAAATTTTGATTTGTCCCCTCCTCCCCCTTTTTAATTTTGTGGCAGGATTGCATATTCTGATCTGCTTGCTTTTCTTTTTGGAAGACAGTTGTAGATTTTTTTGTTTGCGAGTAATTTGCTCTACCCTGATAAATAATGTGTTGTTCCCTCATGCTAGAGTTGTTCTCACTCTTGCAGGACGATGATTAAATTATTTAAAGTAAAGGAAAAGCAGAGAGAGCTTGCAGAGAATGCAAGTGGAGGACCACCTGTTAAGAAGCAATCAGCTGGGGAGTTGCGTCTTCACAAAGGTTCCCTAACTTTTATGTCTGTTTAATCTTTGCCAAAACATGTGTGGCACTAAGCTTTGAATGTGCATGTCAGTTGGTCAGACATGGGCTACAAAGAATTGATGTGTCAAAGGAGTTTACGCTGCTTGGAATTATCAGAGCAGGAACTTTAGTTGGGGCTTGGGGCTGGAGGGAGGGTGTGTAATAGGAGTTTGTCAATTTAATTGGAATCTTAATTGATTTATTTGATAGTTGGAAATAGGAAAATTAAGATTTTCTGTTCTACTCTTTTTTGATACAAAATATATTCTGTTAATACAAGATAAAAATAAAAAGAATAATCTGCAGAAGTTATTGTAGAGTGTTTTATTTTGTATTGTTTTAGAGACTCTGAACTCAAGAAACGGTTATTTTTTTTTAAGGGGAACATCATTCATAATAGTGCATATCATGCATTTTGTGATGTTCAAATTTTGCTTTGGAAGATGAATTACTTGCCACTTTCTTGGTTCTTCTGGCTTAGGCAGTAAGAATTCTTACCTTGTAGCCAATAATAGTTTACTTTCTTCATGTAAGTGGTTTTTAGGCATGAGGCAGTATATTAAGTTTTTGGTCGTAAGAGTCTGGTATTTGCATTTTGTCAGGATTGCATAATGCTGTGAAAATCTTAAGTAAGAATTGTGCCAATTTTGAGGAAGATGGGCTCTAAAAGCTTTTCAGGGATGAAAGTAAAGTGGATTAAAATTAAAATATATGAAAAATGTCTTGATTGTAAACTAAGTAATTTATTATAGTATCTTAGATTATCTCTTAAGGTTCCATTTATCTATATATTTCATGATTTGTTTTCTTTTTTGATTAGGTCTTGGAGTCTAATATTAGCATAAATAGGGATTAGTGCTTTGTAGTTTATAACACATCAAAGTTTTTTTGTTGTTTGATGTTGTTCTTGATGAACTTGGAGAAGTTTTAGTTTTTGTTGTGTATAATTGCTCGACAGGAGATTTCCGCTAATGATCAATGTAGCCATCTTGCTTAGTTGCTTTTCTAGCAATGCCTATCTCTCTATGTCTCCAACATCCCTGAGTTGCCTTTCCATCAATGTTTTGTGGAGCCTAAATTATATTGTTTGGTTATTTTTCCTTTTTAAATGGTTATTTGTAATAAGCTTAAAGCTTAGTAAGCTTTATTTATAGCTTGGGGGGGAGTGTCAAAATATATCTCATAATATTTTGATTGTATCTTAGAGTATCTTAGATTATCTCTTATGATTGCTTTCTGCATATCTATATATTTCATTATTTGTTTCCTTATTTAATTAAGATTCAAAGTCTAATATTAAGATAAATAGGCATTAGTGCTTCGTAGTTTGTATCATATCATAACACATCTTTACTATAATATAACATTTGATTTCATGTGCATAGCATACTAGTCAATTTCCAGCCTCCTCTGAACTTCTTGCTGGACATGACAAGCTTAAGTCTTAAAAACATCTTTTATCCTTGACAAGACTGACAAGTTATGTTGGGGTGGGGGGTAGTTTCAGATTTAGGACTAACTGATAAAGTCAGGTACTTTAAGATTGGGGTCATATTCTTTAGAAGACTTGGCAATAAACCCTGTGTGTGTATGTATCAAAAGGACCTTCAGCTAATTCATGCTATATTCTTCATCTTTATTTCTTTAGGTTCTGGTGGCTGTCGATGGCCATCATGCTTGGGACACAGTAAAACATGGATTTTAAATGAATTTACTGGGGAAAAAAAATCATCTAGTAATTGTTTATGCTGTTCTACAGCAATTGTGACTTTTACCCCTATGTTCATGGAAGGTTTTCTATTTTGGAATTTGCAATCCAATTTCAATAATTTACTTGTTTTGTTATTATTTTTCCTGGGAAGGTTTTTTTTTTTTTTAGTATGGGATAAACAGGAATTTAATCTGACCATTTGCTGGCTTAACATTCTAATATTTATGTTCTCTCCCGAGATGTGTGGTGATGCATACTGCTACCTTGTAATGAGTTATGTTCAGTGGTACAGCTATGATATTGTTCCTCAAGTTGTGTTTTAGTTGGTGCTTCTTTCTTATTCTGACATTGTTTGAGCCTGTAGTTTCTGCTATCTTATCCTGTTATACAAGTTGTTTTTTTGTCTCAGTGGAGTGTCATGTCATGTCTTGCAGATATAAGTGAGCTTAATCTCGCAAAATCTTGTGTCATACAATTCCCCAATGGCAAAGATGACCTGATGAACTTTGAAGTTTTAATCCGACCTGATGAAGGATACTATGTGTAAGGAGCTTTCCATATTATATGGGATTTCTTTGAAGTTTGTGATTAAGCTTTATAAAATTGACTTTTATGGAAGGCTTGATGTCCCTATGTGGTCGTCGTCTTCTTCTTATGCTTTTTCTTAAATACTCCATATGTATAATGTGGTTGGATCTACATACCCATTCCCCACCCCCAAAGTGAAGAGGAACTAAATAGAAAACCTTATTCTCTACTATGTTTTGTTTGTTGTTACAGAGGTGGCGCATTTTTGTTTTCCTTCCAAGTGTCTCCTATCTATCCACATGAGGCACCAAAGGTTAAGTGCAAGACAAAGGTAGGACTATCTTGATTATCTTCGGTACTATTAACTTGTGCTTAGTTTTGCTTGTGAGGTGTGATATTTGCGGAATTCCTAGTCTGTTTCAAAATCATAAATTAATTTGTTACCTATGTCGGATATGCAGGTCTACCATCCAAATATTGACTTGGAAGGAAATGTTTGCCTCAACATCTTACGAGAAGATTGGAAACCTGTCCTCAATATAAACACTGTCATCTATGGATTGTATCATCTCTTCACGGTATGACTCTGTTTTCGTCATTTTTTTTATATAATTTTTTTTGGACATTTTAGATTATAATATATTTTTTTGTGCAGGAACCAAATTATGAGGATCCGTTGAATCATGATGCTGCTGCAGTCTTGAGAGATAACCCGAAGTTGTTTGAGTCGAATGTGAGGAGGGCTATGGCTGGTGGGTATGTGGGGCAAACCTTTTTCTCTCGCTGTATGTAACCTTTGCTCGATAACTTCAAGTCCCTGTTAAAGATGGTTTGTAAAATTTATTTTCAAAAGCTGCATTTCCTTTTCATCCCTGTCTGTTAGTATTCTTGGTGGAGGAAGATGATAAGATCTTAACTGGACCAAGCATTCGAAAGCCAAACAACTCAAGTGTTATTGTAACTTCGTGCTTGTTTTTGTAATGTGACATTATATTTTAAAGTGGACCAAGCAAGAACTGAGTTGAGTGGCCAATACACTGTTAATTTTCCTGCCTCCCTCTAAGATCGTGGGCAAGCTGGCACTGATGCATTATTCTTTTTTTTTTAGTACAACACTGATCATTCTTTACGTTGATCATTTGTCATAGTCGTTAAGGGCTATACAATGCCGTTGATATGACAATATTCTCTAAGTGATAATTCGTACTTCTTGATGCTGTATTTCGACGGAACGCAACATTATATTAAACGTCCAAAAGCGGAGGTTTTAGTAATGGGAGGCATTTTAATATATCTGTTGTTCGGTTCACAGACTGAGATCACTATTCACTTATTACAAACTGTCGGGGGAAAAAAAACTACAAGTAAAATGGAAGGTAGGTAGTTTATAAGAGGAAGAGATTAGGAGCAAGTTTGATTCTATTGTTATATTTTTTATTTTTGAAAATTATTTTATATAATTATTTTGTTTGAGAATAAACACTGAAAGTTTGAGGATGTTCCGGAAACAATGGTAGCTGTGGAGCCGGAGGTGGCGACTGTAGCTGTAGTGGTAATTCAAAGTTCAAGTAAAAATTTCATGAAAACAAGTTAAAAAAATAAAAATAATTAAAGCATTTATTTTATTTTATTTTACTCTAAAAATAAACTTTGAAAGAAGAAGAAAATAAGTATCAAAATAATTTATTCTTTTCGTGTTTTAGGTTATGAAAGGAAAAAAAACAGTAATAAATTCCGCCTAGATTGAAGTATGGAAGAATTCCTATCTGTGCATTATTTCTGTTTATAAGCCTAGAAGCATAAGCAAAAGAGCCAGGCCCTCGGGTATTAAATTTCAACCTTATTGTTGTTGGGCTTGTCGTCTGACCACCAATCCAATGGAAGTTGAAATTCATTAATTCTTGCAGGATAGATAAAGTTAAATTAAAGTTTTAGTTATTATAGAGTATAATTGTTTTTATTTAGTAATTATAATTTTTGCATTGACTCGTACGGATATTCTAATAAAGATTATGGGCTTTTGGATGAGTTTTTTTTTTAATTTTGTTTTTCACAATAAAATTATTTTCCAGTTTATGTATACATATTTGTATGCAAATTTTGGAAAGAGCAAAAATTACAAAAAAATTAAAATTAATATATTTTTTTTTAAGGGTTAACAAGCGTCCTGTCACAGGAAAAATAAACAAAGTTATCTTGTTAACACAAAACAAGCCCACATGTTATTTTATAACAAAAAAAAAAAAACACAGTTATAGATCTATGAGCGGCACAACTTTTCTTTGTTCACGTAATATTACATTCATTTAACCCTTATTTTTAAAGCCAAGACGACTTCTGGCTTCTGGAAAAAGTCAAAATACTCTTTTTCCTTAAAAAATACTTTTTAGATAATAATTCAACTGCAAAAATAATTCTAGTTTCTTGAAAATAAAAAGTTCTTTTAAAAAAAGAATAATAATTTTTTATTTTTAAGAAAAAACTCATATCCAAACGGATGCTATATGTTAGTCTACAGCGCCTCACGACATTGAAAACATTGATGATTGATGCCTTGTGTTTGTATAATTTTATAATTTATTTTGTGGTTCTTTAAATAATACTAATAAAAAAAATTAATCCAAAAAAACAAAAACAAGGAAAACTTTATTTTCACCATTGGGGTTTCATGATGTATTCATTTAACTTCCTACTATTTTAAACTTATCATTTATATCCATTGTTGTTAAATAAGTTTATCATTTAATCCTTGTATAAAATTCTTTATTTTTCCTAACTATTATTTTATATATTGTGATATTAACAAATGAAATTTGCTTACAAAAAAAATGAAATTTTAATGAAATTAATTATTAAAAATTAAATTTAAAAAATATTTAAAGTTATTTATTTTGAAATTATTTTAGAAATCATCTAAAAAATATTATTTAAGATAAATTAAAGACATATTAGCTAAATAAATTATTTTGTTTTATAATATTATAATGATATCAGATAAAAAAGATATTTGACTTAAATTTATTTTCACGATAAAAATGTAAGACCACAAGATTCAAATGCTTATCTTTTAATGAATTTAATTCAAATAAGTTTAAATCAATTTTTTTTAAAATCATTTGTTTTTATCATGAATCAAACCCCTATGTAATACATTTAAATAAATGAATTTCCTTATATGTAAATAAAAGAATAAGTGATTCATATTTATAACCACAATCAATATACGTAATACTTTGAAATCACAAAGGGTTAACGATATTTTTTGTAATCACAATAAATTTAAGTGACAAGTTTGAAATCACATGGGGTTAAGCGATAAATTATGAGTGTTTATGACAACCATTTTGTTTACTGACAGTGTTTCTGAAAAGAAATAATTCTTTTTTATTTCTGTACCTTGAAATATTTTCTAAGAAAAAATTATGCTTGATAATATGTTTTATTTTAATTCTGAGAATGAGAATTGCGTTTGATAACACAACAAATAATATAATAAAAAATAATTTCTATTAAGCATAATTTTTTTTTGTAACATCACTTTCCTTTCTATACGGTGTGGTGGTGGCAGCGACGACGACATGGTGGTGGTAATGGTGGCAGTGGTGGTGGTGGTAGTGGTTGGTGGAGGTGGTGGTGAGACAGTGGCTGCGACGATGGTGGCGGTGGTTGGTGGCGTGGTGGTGGTGGTGGTTGGTGATGATGGCGGCGTGATGGTGGTGGTGGTTGGTGGTGACGGTGGTACTGGTGGTGGTGATGATGGCGATGGGTGGAGGTGGTGGCATCGTCGTGGTGGTGATGGTTGGTGACAGTGGCATCGTCGTCGTGGTAGTCGTGGTAGCGATGATGGTGGTAATTGTGATGGTGATGGTGGTGGTGACAGCAGTGACTGCGATGATGGTGGTGGTGGTTGGTGATGGTGGTAGTGGTAGTGGTGATGGTGATGGTGATGACGGTGGTGTGGTGGTGGTGATGGTGGCGATGGCATCGTCATGATGGTGGTGACGATGAAATTGGTGGTACAATGACGACGACGACGATGGTGGCGGTGGTTGTGTTGGGATGATGGTAGTGGTGATGATGATGATAGTGGTGGAGAGTGATTGAGAGAAATAAGTGTTTCTCATTTTGTGCCGGTGAATAAAAAAGCAGAAATTTTTTATTTTATTTTTCTGTTTTTCAGAACAAAAATTAAATTTGTTCATCCCGGGAACAAAAAAATAAATCTATTTTACCAAACGAGTTTTCTATCTATTTTTGTTTCTGGGAACAGAAATTAGAAAAGAATTGATTCCAGGAAGGTTGTCATGCAAACCCTATATAACCATAGAAACTGAAAATGAAATTATCCCAAAAAATAATTATAAGGAGTTGTCGGTTGGCATTTGCCACCTTGGATGTTATATTATGAGGAGTCAAGTTAAATATAATTTAAATATATTATAATTATAATAAAATTATTTATACATTTTTATTTTTGCAATCTAAATTTTTAAAAAAGTTATCTTTTTGGTTCTTATTTTTCTAATAATAAATATTAAATTTTATCAAAAAATAATTTGAGTTGTACGTTACTCACATTTTAAGTTTAGTAAAAGAAAGGCAAACTTGCTAGCAAATGATCATTACAACCATATTGTTTTTTCAATAAAACTCAAATTATTAGGATTTTATGATGCTATCAATCGGGTACTGTTAGAGTTTAACTCGTCATAATTGAGTTTTATGATGAGTACATTAACTCACTCACCTTTATCATTCCAACTGTGCTCAGCTGGCATTGATGTCAAGTCATTACTTTGTTTATACTCATTACAACATTTGTGAAATTTTGCTTGTCTTTGTTTTTGTTATATTAACTACTAATTTTTTTTTCTTGGTGATCGATAATTCATTGTAGGGTTCTATGCTAGGCTAATTGACAAATAGGGTACAAAAAATAATTTTCAAAAAATAAAAAATAATTATTAGAATGGATAAATTTTGTAGATATAAGATATGCTTTAATAATAATAAAGAGGGAATAACAAAAAGAGAAAAGTTTTAAACAAGAGAAAAAAACATCAACTATGTGCAAAGATAAATATGCATGTTGTCATACAGGAAGAATGATGGATGAGTTTGGAATAAAGTAAGCAATAAGTCAAGAGTATTGGATCAATAACAATAAGGAAGAAAAACAAGAGCAAATCAATATCAATGCCAACAAACCATTGACAACTTTCAAGAGAAGCTAATGTCATAAGCCTTGGTAAAAAGGTGTAGTTATCAAATTCAACAAAGTTTTAAAGTATTGTGAAATTCTACAAGTCAAAATATAAAGCTCGAGTGAATAATCAAGATCCAAAATTGAATGCAACAAGCTAAGTCTAATTATTTATTAGAATACATTTTCAGACTTAGATATGATTATAAGAGTGTACGGTAGATTGCATTACATGAGCTCAACGTGATTTTAAAGTTGTATATTTCAAGATTGCATAAAAGTTATGGAAAAAGATTTCAAATATAGATTAAAGATGTTTTAGCATGTCTTAATCTTATAAACATATTTCCAAGATCCATTTTTATGTTTCTAGGTGTTAGAAATATGTTTGGATGGAAAATGTTTGACCAAAGTTCCTAACCTTCAGTAAGGTTGACAAATGATTCTCGTCTATTGGGAATGGATTCTCGCCTGTTGGAAACATGTTCCCTCCTCATGGGAATTTTTTTTTCCTTATACTAGAAAGGTTAGGAATTGATTCCTCTTACTTGGGAATCGATTTTTCCCTGCACTAGAAACAAAACAACAGTCATAAATGACTAGTTTTGGGCAAAATCAATATATATACATTCTCAACGACTCAAAAACATTTATATCACTATTTCTACACATATTAAACATAATTTGAGATCTTCTACATTATCATTTGCATATTCTTTCATATCTTTCAAAGATTACATATTTGATATTATATTGTAAAAATCCATTTACCCTTAGTGCTTCAAGATGTATATCCACATTTTGAGAGTGTATATTAATTTCCAAACACATTCCAAATTGAATTTTGGATTAAG